ATTTAAATTTCATTGAAAATAGAAAACTGTTATGTTCGACATTAAACCATTAATTGAGATATTATTATGTCATTGATTTTATCATTATCTTGATTCTATACAGTTTGTGCATATCTGAGTTTCCAATAATCAGATTCGTTTATACTACTATTTTGATATGGGCCAAAAACCTTTTGCTCAATATTGTTTTTCAAATAAGTTTTTAAATACCTATATTTGAAAGGTTATTTTTAATTGGGAATCTATTCACCCCATCTAGATAAGTCGTTGTAGTTTAACATATACTAGTCCTATTATTTTGGTAAAGAATAAGGATGCTTCTTGGTGTATGTGTGTGGACTACCACGCTCTTAACAAAACCACCATTTCGAACAAGTTGCCTATGCCGATGATAGAAGAGTTATTAGACGAGTTACATGGTTTCAAATAATTTTAAAACTAAATCTTAAAACGGGGTATTACCAAGTGTGTGTTAAAGGAGAAGATGTTCATAAAACTTCTTTTCACACTCACGAAGGGCATTATGAATTCTTAATAACGCCATTCAATCTCATGAATACACCATCTACAATGTTTCAAAACTTGATGAATGATGTTCTTCGACCTACGTTGAGGAAAGGTGTGCTTGCGTTTTTCGACGAATACTTGGTGTATAATAAGGACTGGTGTACTCATATGAGGTAGTTGGGGGATGTCTTCCAGGTGTTGTAAACAAACAGGTTGATGACAAATAAGAAAAAATGCCATTTTGTTCAACACGTTGTTGAGTACTTGGGACATTTAATCTTTGTAGAAGGTGTAGCAGTAGATCCTAGAAAAGTCATTAGTGTGACCAATTGGCGGGTTTCGAAGAATGTTAAAGGGGTGAGAGGGTTCCTTGGTTTGACTAGATATTACTTAAAGTTTATATGTGACTATGATTGTGAGTGCAATATTCTCTCTTAGATGTTTTGAATGATGTCAAAACTAGGTAATATATAGTATTTATACATTGGATATTATCTCTTTATGTCTAGGTAGTATATTCATCTTAGGACACCTTTAGAACATGTCAAACACATTTGGACAAGTTAAAATGGTAAGAAAATATGCATTTTTATGAAAAATCATGTTTGAAATTGACTAATTCGTGTTAGGAGTCGACTCCTACTAAAAATATTTTGAAAGAAAACTTCTATAAAGAAGGAGCCAATACATAGGGATCTTGGAGTCGACACTCATCACTAAGGAGTCGACTCCCACTAAAAGAAACTTTTTATTTTGAATCTCTATTCAATATGGGTCGACTCCCACACATTTGAAATTGATACATAACACAAAAAAGTCGACTCTCACGTGGTATGTCTCGACTCCTACTGAAGCACATTGTTCAAAATATTTTCTCTCCAAAAGAATTTGACTCCCATGTAGTATTGGTCGACTCCATCTCCCTTAGGAGTCGACTCCCACTTTGAATGAGTCGGCTCCCACTGATCAAAATGATCAATTTTATAATTTTGCAAATCTAATTTTTTAATGATTTCTCATGTACATTCTCACACATATATATAATCATTCATGCATCATTTCAATGTATTGGAGCTGAAAATATACAAAGATTTTCATCATCTTCATCCTCTCTCATTTCATACATACAACAACTACACATAATTATTTTGTTGTGTGATCAATAGATAGTTTGATAACATCCAATTAGGATTTGATGTAATCGATTGGTTTGAAAGATATTTGCAGGTTTCAAGATAAATTCGTTTAGAATTTCCGTCTAAGATCAAAGATTGATTTGGAAGTTTTACACAAGATTGCACAATTTAGATTCACCCAAGTGAAAGCTTTTAAGAACGGGATGTCAGTCAAAGCATTAACAGTAACTGGAGAATCACTTTGGTAATCTTGAGTCACGATACATTCATAATTTGAATTCAACCGAACAAAAGCTTTGAAGAATGGGAGTTCTGTCAAAGGAGTAGTGATAACCGAATGATCAAATTGAAAATATCGAGTTATTTGATCGAGCTTTGATCAATGGGAGAGAAGAAGTTAGGATCAACATCAAGGGTTGGATTACTACTTATTCTCTTGTAAACAATATTTTACAAGAGTTAATTTTCATTATCTCAATTCCGACTGAAATTGAGGACAAACGTACTCATAGCGAGGTCGATTGAGAAACTGCCTAAACACATCCTTGTATATCTCTCTCTTTTTCTCACATTTATATTTACTTGCAAATTATAAAATAATTGATTGTGCAACCAATACATATAGATAATCTTTTTGTTTAATAATTCAAATTATTTTGTTGAATTGATTACAATCTATCTAATTGTAATTGAATTTACATATCAACAAAATCATAGAAAATACTGTTTTGAATCGATTGCACATCAAGTGTTCGATAAATTGCTTATATCAATATTTGTTTGATATTTCATTGAAAATAGATTACTATTATGTGATTTAATTCAAACATGGTTGCTGAAAATATATTGATTGTCTTTCCCATCTTACATATTTGTTCTATCAATTTAACACATATCTAATATTTTTAATGACGATTCAGATAGACGATTATCGATCCATAATTATTTCCTAGTTAAAACATTTTAAAGCAAAATTTTTAATAAAAAATGTTCATTTACGACATATTCTCCCCCCTCTATATAGTAACCTATCGTCTAACAATGGGTAAGATAGCACACCCCCTCACAAATTTGACTAAGGACGCTTTTATGTGGGGTCCAGTAGCACATAGTGCTTTTGAAGTACTTACGAGGAAGATGACAATGGCACAAGTGCGGGCTTTACCATATTTTAATAAGGAGTTTGTGATTGAGAGCGAGGCGTCATGGAATGGTATAGGGGCAATATTGACACAGGGCAAAAATCCAGCTGCCTACTTCAGCAAGGCGTTGTGTGTTAGGAATTTAACCAAGTCTGCATATGAAAAAGAACTTATGGTCAATGTACTAGCTATACAACACTGGAGACCTCATTTACTTGGCAGAATATTTGTCATTTCTACAGATAAAAAAAGTTTAAAGGAATTGTTACAACAGAAAATTATTACAGGAGATCAACAAAACTGGGCTGCAAAGTTGTTAGGCTACAACTTTCAGATTATGTATAAACCAGACCAAATGAATAATGGTGCAAATGCTCTATCTATGGTAAGTGAAGCATGACAGTTGAATAGGATTGTCTCATTCCCTATGTGGATGGAAAAGCAACAATCGATAGAGGAGGTCCTTCAAGATCCTAAGTGCTAAAAGATCATGGCAGAGCAGCAACAAGATCCAGGATCACATCCATAGTACACTTAAAAGCAGGGAGTTTTGATGTATGATGGGAGATTGGTGTTGTCAAGTCAATCATCTTTCATTCCAAAATTATTACAAGAGTTTCATACCACACCTCAAGGGGGGATTCTAGATTTTTGAGAACATATATGCGACTCGTTGCGAATGTAGCGTCACCAGAAGGACTGCTGCAACCTCTTCCTATTCCAGACAAGGTGTGGGAGGAATCTCGATAGATTTCATTATCGGGTTGCCCAAGTCTAATGGATGTGAGGTTGTCATGGTTGTGGTGGATCTTTTTTTGAAATATTGTCATTTTGTACCCATCAAACATCTTTACATGGCTAAAAGCATTGCTGAGAATTTTACCAAGGAGAATGTGCGGTTACACGGAATTCCTCTGTCCATTGTGAGTGACAGGGATCTAGTCTTTGTAAGTCATTTTTTGAGGGAACTGTTTAGGCTACAAGGAACCCAACTGAAAATGAGTTCGACTTATCACCCTTAGTCGGATGGACAAACCGAGGTTTCTTGAGACTTATTTCAGGTGTTTTGCAGCGGATCAACCCAAGATATGGGTGAGTTGGATGCATTGGACAGAATATTGGTTTAATAACACGTACCAATCAGCTATTAACCAAACCCCCATTTGAAGTAGTATACGGTCGAGAACCTCTAGAAATTACACGCCAGGTGATTGGAGAAACTAGGGTCGAAGCAGTGCAAGGGGAGTTACTTGACAGAGATGAAGATTTGCGACAGTTAAAGATGCAATTGTTGAGGGCTCAAGAGAGAATGAAACAGCTGGCAGATAAGAAAATACAGGACAAGAGTTATGAACTTGGTGAATGGGTGTATTGTTAGAGACCGAGTTTTAGAAGTCAACCAAAAGGAGAAATTAATTCATCAGGATTCGGTGGGGCCTAAGATTTGGCAAGTATACACTAAAAGGGGCAAAGAGGAATAATTCTGTTAAATTAGATTGAGGTGAGAGAATTGTGTAACGGTCTCACTCTATAAGGAACGTGGGGGAGGCTGAGAGAATTATCCCTGAGAATCTAGTTGTTAGATATGAATGGAAAGCTCTAGCTTTCATAGGAGCTTGCTCTGTGTAAGAATAGGAGGTCATTTCCCTCTCTGTAATTGTCCAAATTCACCATCAATAAACACAATTCTTTTTCATTCTTTACTTAATGTTTATTGCATTTTTTTTTAACATTCTGGGTTCCCATCACTAGGTGATAAGATGATCTCACTGAATGCAAACTTCTCTTCGCCTGGTTCCAAATCAACTTGACATTCTTGACCAATGGAATTAAAGGAGTAGCTAAGATGGCATTGGCTTCTGCATAAGAACTTCTGCAGAAGAAAATATCAAGATATTATGAAATATTATATTATATTCTAACAAGACATGAAACAAAAAGTTTATTTTGCCTTTCAATTATTACATTCCATACATAAGATAGCAAGAATGAGACTCATTATATAATAATTAGGATACAAGTGTTAATTTACATTGAAATTGAACTAAAATGTGAAGTAAAAAGGAATGCCCGAGAGCTCCAAAACACAATTATAGGGCGAAGAATAAACAAAACAGCTTTGAAGTGAGCATAGTCATGTGTTTAAAACATTGAAACCCGATTTAAGTAGATGGACAGTAATCAATAATGTTACTTGGACGGCTTCATAGCTACTTCAAGCCACAAGACGATCCATGACCAATTTCACAACTCTAGGAGCATCAACTGTCACAGCTACTTTTACTGTTGGCATATTGGACCATTTAGTGACTTCTTCAAACCTGGTTTATTGCAAAAAGAAAAAAAAAGACAGAAAAGTGAGGTAACATATAGTAAAGGTAACCTAAAGACAAAGTTAATCGTACTTGCAATACAATACAAGATGAAGACAAGATATTATTACAAAGAAGTTTTTGTTCAACTCCCCCTTGCTAAATCATCGATTATATTGGACTCTTACAATGTTGAAACCCGGTTAAAAAAAGAGTAAACCATTTAATTGGTTCTCCAAGCTATGCATGTCAACACATTAGTTCTTCAGAGGTTTTGTTTCAATATTACAGCAACCAAGCCTTATAATATTAGGTTGGGTCGCCTGCGAGGATCAAACGACACCATAGTGTTCTATCATAAGTCAGAATTTGGATCCTCTATATTGACTTAAGTGTAAAGTGAGAAAAGCAAGGGTTGTTAACAAACTCATGATTTGTTATGATGCACCTATAATATCTACCTATGATTCGTTAGTTAATGGTTGATATTACTCACGTTACACTCTAAAGTAAATTGCTAACTTTAGAGGAGTGCGATTTGTCATGATGTACCAATAATATCTACCATAAATCATATCTCTATCCTAACTATTGACCCCAAAGTTTCCTTAGTAGTTCCTTGTACAGTGTTTCTAGGTATTCCTATGACTCTAACGGTTGGACTACCCTTCATCTGATCTACACTTATAACATTCATCTACATATCTTTTCCACACATGTCTAAGCCACCTAAGTCGAGATAGAGCCAATTTTTCTACAATAAGGTGTTACCCTGATTCTATCTTTAATTATAATTTTTAATCATATTGTCTATTATTTCCCGTAGGTACAGAAGAACATTCTCATACAAACCTCAAAATCAGGGATGTTTAGGCATGCTGAGATTACAAACGAAAACCAATGTCTAGAGCCAAAAACTAAACCAAGCTCCAATAGGGAGATAAAACTCAACCAATTCGACAATAACTCATCTACACAACATAGATGATATTTGATCTTAGATCTAACTTACCCACCAACTAACTAGGGTATTTGGATCCAAAATTCATAACAAAATGAACAAGTCATCACAAGATAGAAAATCTTGATAACAAAGTATTTTCCCTAATAATTGCACTCAAAAGGGTGACGGAGACTTGAATATTATGGAGTTCCCAAGTCTAACATTGAATAGTATAAGTTGCTCGGCGGAGTATTTGAGTGACTTAGTTTGCCGGTGTCTCAGAAAAGGCCAACTACAGATGAGCTATTTGAAAATGGTCAAGCGAAGTTTCCTACAGTAGGCCTCCAGAATGGCGACTCTTGTGGGCAGTGTTAAGATATAGACTTGGGTATTATGGGGTGCTTAATCACCCCTTGGAAAGCATCCTCCATTAGCCCATACAAAAAGGAACAAGCTTAGCAAACTCCAGGTTATGTTCTCTGTTCAGCTAAGACTCTATTCACCAACGAAGTATCTCTGTAGTTATCCCTGTCATCATGTTTGGTCCAGCAAGGTAAATTTTGGCCAGGCCAGAGCTAATGCAGTGTACTTGAGAATGTAACAGTTATCTGAAACAGAATGTTCTAGGCATACCTGGGAAATCTTCACATAAATTGCTCTTCCTAATCAAATAGAAGGAATATATAAACAAAAGGCCGGGGAATTCATTTAAATTTTAATGCAATCTAAACTCCTATCAAACAACAGCCTAAACCATTTACGAAAAGTTTACTTCCTTCCCCTAAAGAACTAGGTTGGTCACTGAAAAATTCCTATTTCTTTGGTAGAGTCAATGCAATCCCATAGCATCTTTACAAACTATTCTGAGAAATTTGGAGAGAGACAGAACTGCTATAAAATGGCATTAACATTCATAAAGATAAATTTCAGGGCTATCAACTCCTAGTGCTTTCTACCTTTTCTGTTTATTGTAGAGAATTGTAAGTCCCCTTGTTATGCCACTGGTTTGGACTCTAACAGCACCTTCTGTGCAAGTTACGAGTGAAGGATCAACGGCTGCAAGCAACGCTGTAGGGTCATGAAGGTAAACTCCTGTATAAAAGAACTATTAATAATTCGGATGATTAGGCCTATATTATCTCTTTAATGCAGAATGAAGACATACCATTGGTGTTGTATGCGTCACAATGGTAAGAGAAATACACCTCTAAGATTCCGGTAAGGTATTGAGCAAATTTTCCTTTTGAACTTGCTAACTTTTCTCGATCAGAACCTAGTCATTTTGTTTTTTCGGATGAGGGTAAACCAAAACAAATGTTAACATGACAAGTGACATGAACCATAATTAAAATAGAAGCATGCTCATAGCAGTCAACCGATGTCAAGTTTCATGCTAAAATACTGCCAATAGAGACACAAAGGTAATAAAAAGTTTCATGGGTTTCAAAATATTATAGGAACTAGTTATAGATATAAAACCAGTCACGAACTTCACTTAACAACTGAAACTTTTGAGAGTTAGTCATTGACAATTATCATGGGGGGGAATTATTTAAGTTAGTTGAATCTTTCCCTGCCTTTGGCATGTGTCTGCATTAAATACTAAAAGTGCGGTGATACCATGGAAAATAGATTATTATCTACCACAATATTATCCATTAATCAAAGGTCTCCCGAGAATACTAGTTTGGTTAGGGAGACATCCATGAAATCTGTTGAGTTGAAAACATTATTTATGGGAACTTATTAATATAAAAGTTTAAAATAGTCATATAAAAGGTTGCTGGATCATGATGCATAAATCATGAAAGGAAAAGGAAAGAAAATTATCATAACAGTTGAAGAACTAGATGTTAAACCACATAAGATTTGCCAAGAGATGATTAGTCATTTTAACAAAATACCTACGTAAGCATGAAAAAACTGAGTGCATATGAATTTGGCAAAGGGGTACCTGACAATACGACTTGGTGAGTAACATTTATTCCAACTGCCAATATATCTGCGCCACTTGTGAATACAACATCAGCAGCATCTGGATCACCAAATATCTGGAATTAAATCCAACTGAAGATTTAGATAGATCGAGCAGTGAACGGTTTTGAATACAAAATGGTAATACTTACATTTGCTTCAGCAGCTGGATTCACATTTCCATTTACTGCAAAAGATCCACCAAGGAGAACGATCTGCCCGATGTTTTTAGCAAATTCGGGGTCCATCTGTATAGCCTGTCAAACAGAATATTGTCGTCTAAAACAGTATGAAGAGTGGGTAATACAATAATGGCATATAGAAAATTGCAGACATATGATACCAAAGCAATATTTGTAAGAGGGCCCAACGCCACGACGGTGACTTTTCCAGGGTTAGCTTTCGCTTGGTTAACCAAAAATTCAGCAGCTGATTCTTCAATGGGTTTCCCATTTGGGGGAGGAAAATTTTGGTTGCCAAGTCCATCTGCCCCATGAACAAAATCTGCAATGCGAAGTTTCGTCCCTTTCTATAAAATTGACATGGATTACCTTAATTAGTCAAATCAAATACCAAGATACACCGCAGATCTAATCAGTTAAGCAATCAACTAGAATGCATTTGAAAGGAATACACAAATTTCAATGAGCTCTGATGATAATAGAGATGAGTTGTAACAAACTTACAGTTAATGTGACATGAGATCCTTCAGCAACTGGTATATCAGTTCTTCCAGCAACTTCTAACTACACAAATGCAAATTTAGTATCAATATTCAAAACTCAATTTCACCAATACATAACAAAAACAAATCCATCAATAGAAACTGAAACAATGACAAAAAACAAAAACGTTACGAGATGCAAGGCATTTCTGGTTGCAAGAGTAGTATAAACGTTTCCGTAGATAGTTGTAAGTCCAATAACTTGTATCTCTGGTGACCGCAGAGCAAGGAATATAGCCATAGCATCATCTACACACAGAACAGAAACGACTGAAAAACAGTGAAATCTGAAATGAAAGAAATTGAATCGGAAATAAAAAAGTGTGTAATTACCGATTCCAGGGTCGGTATCAATTATGATCTTCTTTGGTTCGGTTTGAGATGTCATGTGATGTGTGATGATTAACTTCACTTTGTTTTCCGTCGGAAAAGTAGAGACGGAAGTTTATTAAAATGACGGTGCTTTCTGGAAGGATTGACACATACGTAGACAAGGAAAAGTAATGTTATTGTTTTTTTAGAGATAAAGAAAACAAGTTGGCACAATGATTTAGGTAAGTTATCGGGGTGAACCAACTTTGCAAATTCAAGTTTCATCAACTTCAAAAATGGCTTATGGTATGCTTAAAATTATTTGAAATTCTAAATATAATTGTCGGAATAAACGCAAATCTAATGGGTTAAATACACATCCATCACAACATGTCATGGGTTCGACCTGTGTCATCGGCATGGAACACAGAAGATATTTTGATTTATATAAAAAATAGTTTATAAAAAAAAAATACACACTCATTTCCAAAAATCCGATAATTTTTTCTGAAAAATTTCCACTACATCTGAAAATAAATTTTAAAATTTTTTTTAAGGACATAAAAGTAATAACAACTATTATTAAAAGGTGACCGATTAAATTCTCTATAATATGGAGTGATAAATGGGCAAGCCAACCTCGTTTAAGCCCGCAAAAAGACTGAGCAGAGTGGAGCAGACTGTGTTGAGGGTGTGAAACTAAAATTGATCGTACCTTATCAGAGTTGGACCGTTACAGCTGGCTTCGGGCTGGATTTGAAAAAGATGGGGGTACCTGCAAGATACTCTGATGGCAAAATGGGAGATGGAATGAGCAAGCAAGTGAGTATAGGTGTGAATGAATGAATACCTGACCCTCTCGAAATAAAGGGTATTTATAGCCCCCAGCGTTGGGCCAAGGTTCCTTTATTGGGCTGATCAAACAGGCCCAACAAAGGGACTGTCAGGTTCTACGTGAGTAGTGGGGACCTGCACGTGGTCCCCTACCTGGATGATGCTCTCCGCAGAATAGGGAGGGTAAAGACGCGATCTTCCCGGGACCCTGTGGACTCCGCGAAATCTAGAGAGGTTGAAGGCCTGCCCTACGAGGATGGTACTCGGGCAGAGCTTGGATTGGGATGTTCCTCATCGGGGACGTTCCTCGTGGGCACCGGCGGGACGTAGTCGCATTCGACCAGTTACCCATGATCGGGGTGTGCTCGGAAGATCTAATGCTCAGCATGATACGTTGACAAGCTTGGATTGGGCCTCACTGGTGATTAGGCCACGGGCAGGCCCGGTCCAAAACAGGAGCCCCCCAAGTCGTTGTTCCTGGTACGGGAGTTATGACTTGATTCAAGTTCGCCCTTTCGTGAGACTCGCTTGCGCGACACATTGGTTTTCAACCGAGGAGGTGAGACATCGCCCGGTTTGTGATTTTCCCCGTGCAGCGATCGAGAAGTGTTCGAGGAGCGCTTGTAGGGAGGTGGTGACGCGTCAGTTAGACACGTGGTGCGGCTCTTGGAAACCCCAATGCCGCCCTAGGGAGTAGGGTCATCATTGTCTACGCGAGTAGGCGTCGAGGACGGGGGAGGTTCGTGGTTCCCCGGCGCGACGTTTCATATTCCACGTCATCTCTATAAATAGGGCTTCAGGGCCCATAGTTTGTTTTCATATCTTCACGCTTCTCATATTTTCTCTGTTTTCAATCACTGTGAGTTTTCCTAGCGTCGTTGAGACTGCTGCGCCGTTTTCTGTGTATTCATCTCCACTGCCGTCGCTCTTCACTCTTCTCCCAAGTAAGTGTTTTTTCCCTTTGATATCTCATATTGTAGATAGATTTTGGTGGTGTTTTAGTGGTAGAATCTCATGTGTTGGGGTTGTGCCCGAGAAATTTAAGCACCCTAGGCGCCTGATTCGTGACCGTGCCCGAGATATTCATAAGTTTAGGCATACGGTTTACGATCGTGCCCGTGATACTCATGCGTTTGGCTAGTAGATTTATAAACCTGGTCTGGAGATTCATCCTTTCGTTAGTATGTAGGCTAGTTTTCCTGGTAGTATTCTTGTATCGGGCCAGCAACATTATGAACTTGGTCGCGGGATTCATCCTTCACTTGCGATATTCATGCTATGCTCGCGTCGTTCATGATTGATACACGCTCGCCGCTGAGGTTGGTGTTTGGTCGAGGTCCACATGTTCCCCGTTTTTCGTGTGAATGGTCGTTGACTCGGTCTGAGTGTTGCTTACTTCTCCCCGTCTTTGTGGCAGAAAGGCGGATTTGCTGTCAAATTCACCGGTTTCATGTACTTTGCAGGTAAATGGCCGATATTCCTGAGTCCTCGGGGCGTAACGATGTTGAGGAAACAAGCACTGCGGAGGAAACTATCAACCTGGTCGACACCGTCGATGACCCCACTCTGGATTGGGTTGGTGCTGAACCCCGGGGAATAAATTCGATCTATAGCTTTTGCAGTAGACAAGCTTACACTATCGTCGAGTATGGCGGCGGCCAAGAGGGGTTTCGAAGAAACTTTAAGATTATGAGGCCGACGAGGGATGCCCGTATCTGTTCGGAGTTTACACAAGATGGATTTCCCATGTACGAGATCGTATTTAAAGATCTCGGGCTCCAGTTGCCCTTCAATGACTTCCAGGTCAGAGTGTTCAACCATCTGAACTTGGCCCCTCTCAAATTCATCCTAATGCTATTGCCTTTCTCCGGGCATTAGAACTCACGTGTCGCTTCCTGAGGATTGGGGCGACGATTCCCCTGTTCTTCAGGGTTTTTCACCTACAACAGCAGTCCCTTAAGCAGTCGAAGAGACTGTTTAGGATGTATATGGATTCAGTGCGAGATTTTAAGGATAAGCGGTATATTTTTCAACCGTCTACCCAGACAGCCGTAGATTCGCTGTTTGAACCGACCGTTGTGGTGGATGAGGATGGGGAGCCGTGTTTGGATGCTAAGGGTAATCTCGAGATTAGGAAAGTCTCTAAGTTTCCTATTCACTGGTGTTCGGGACATTACGACCATGGTCCTGGATACTACCACACTCCTGCTGGGGGTATGAGTGCTGAGGATGAGGAAGCTTATGGCGTCCTGAACAAGTTTGTCGATGGCTTCTTTCCTGCTCGGTGGGTTACGAGGGAAGGGGACAACGTTCTTGAAAAGGATGGCTATCCGATGTTCGAGGCGCGCCCGATCAATACCAAGGCGCTCGTCGAGTGCTAATCTTACGGGCAAGCTGCAGACCTCTTAGGTTTCTTTCTTTGCTCTATTGACATTCCTCTTTATTTGTTTTCTTTAATGTATGTAGCTAACCCAAGTACGCTTCCTTTGCATGTCACATGGCGGAGCGTCGCGAGAGGTTGTTGAAGCTAACTCAAGACAAGAAAATCAGTAAGAGATTGGTGAGGCAGCAACAAGCTACACAGATGGGCCCGCCTCCTGACTCGAGCAGGGAAGGATCTAGTGGGTCCTCGGGTTCCCCGGACACCTAGCGCCAATCTGCTTTGATCAGCAAGAAGCGGAGTCAACCAGATGATGGGGTCGAAGTGACCGACGGAGGTGCGGGCGCCCGGGCCTTCGACCTACCACCCTGCTTCGTGGAGAAGGATTTCTTCGAGGGATTTCCCTTGTCCGTATCCGACAACGAGGCCGACATCATCAGGCGGCTTGACAAGGAAGGTCGGAGGAAGCACCTCGCTGCCAGCATGGTCAGGGTGGTAAAAATGGCCGAGATGGCGGTTGTCCTCGCGAGAGAAGGGTCGGACTCCATGGATCGGGTCAAAGAGCTGGAGTCGGAGAAGGCGGCTCTTGTGGCCAAGTCCCATAAACTGAAGGTTGCCCTCGAACGCTCCGAGGAGATGTTTCGCGAGTAGTATGATGTGTTGTCGGGGGAGAAGGAAAAGGCCGACAGGGCTCTCGAGGAAAGAGATTGCCTCCAGCTTGATAAGGAACGGTTGGAGAGTGACAACCAACGACTGTCGAGAGAGGTCGAGGACCTGAAGGTTGTTATGCTGCCCGCTGAGGACGAGCCAGAAGGGATGGTCGACTTGCGTACGCACTCTGACTTTATCGCTCGTATTCAACTCCTAGAGTTGGACTGTATCGGCGCTTTGGCCGATGGTTTTAAGGCCGGCGTGAGTCAACTGTCCGCGCTAAATCCGGGTTTGAATACCGAAGGGGCTGGAGTTATGTCCCAGATTGTCGATGGTCGGGTTGTGCCTCCCCCTGACTCTCCTGATGTCAACATCGGCACTCCAGGAACTGATTGATGCTTTGTTGGTGTTTGGGCCTGCGCGCCCGTTTATTGTTTGTTGGGCCTGCGTGCCTGCTATTATTCTCTTAGTTTTTTGGCCGTCGTGCCTGGACTGTAATTTTGGATATCACCGGGCCTTGTAGTCGGTATATTATTGATCCTTGTTTTATGATTGTCTGTTTGATGGATGCTTTGTTTGCAGTTATCTGATAGTATTTTATGTATATGCTCGACTGTTATTTTAATAATCAATTCTTGGCGAAGTTTGTGTTCGGGCGGAGATATACGTTGGACCCCTATGTCGGTTTGACGCATTTCGAAATGTGTCGAATGCGCGGAGTGTAATCCGCGTGTCGGGCGTATGACCGCGATTTGGGTCCTACGCCCGTGGCGTAAACTGCTCATCGCGAGCTGGGTGTTCTGCCATGTGGGGTACTTCGACAGTGGAGCTCAATCGAGGTGTCCCTGCCGGGCACGTCTGTTTGGTTCATCGAAGTGGACGACAGTATGCCCTCGTTGGTTGGTAGGTCAGGTCCGTACCTCGACTCGCCTACGTGGTCGAGATTTTTTCCTTTGTTGATTAAAGGTGAATATTTAATGGCGAAAGTCCTCAGTTGGTGAGGGCTTTAGCTATAGTATTGTTTCAGCTTTGCAGCATTCCAGGGTCGTGGTAACGGTTCTCCGTTTAATTGCTCGAGATAATATACTCCGGTGCCCGTAGCACCCTGGACGCGATAGGGTCCTTCCCAGTTGGCGGCCAATTTTGCTTTGCGGGAATCTTTCTGATTCCTTCGTAAGACTAGGCTGCCGACCTGGAATTCGCGTCTGATG